GAGAGAGAGAGAGTGAGAGAGCAACATATCATGAACAAAGGGTAGATGTCACCTTGAGATCGGGATCAGCGGGAAACCGGAAGCTCCGACGATAATCTGCCGAAGCGAAGCCGGCTTGGCCCTAAACAGAGGCGAACTTGTTGAACGTCTCGCGACAGCTCCATAAGTCTTGGGGGGGGAAGTAGGATCGGGATCTAAATGATGCCTTCTACATGCAAGACCAGAAACAAGAATCAAGAAACAAACAGAGGTACCAGATCAAGAACATCAGACACGAGAATAGAGCAGATCACACTCCACATCGACGAGAAACCGGAGAGTCCGATGATGATCGGCCCTACGAAGGAGAACCGCCTCGGGCCTCGCGACGGCTCCGTCCTCCTGCTCCTTGTCATCGGTCTCGCCACGGCAGCAGCAGAAGAAAGCGACGACCCGCGTGCGAGCGGCAGCGGAGTCCGATGACGAGGTAGGATCGGAATCTAAATCATGTCTTCCGAATTTAAGATCAGAAAAAAGGATCGAGAAACTAACAGCGCAAAAGATCAAGAACGTCAAGCACGAGACAAGAGCAGATCACACTCCACATCGACTCCGATGATGATCGGCCCAAGTGAACCCCATCAATAGCCCCAAAGGAGGAGCAACGCGTTGGGCCGCGCGACGGCTCCGTCCTCCTGCCCCTCGGCATGGGAGCCGCAGGTAAGCCTCGGCCCGGTCGCAACGGAAGAAGGCGACGATCCGAGGAAGGGAGGGAGAGACGGTTCGATGGCTTCCCGATCTCGTTGTCCCGAACGGTTTTGCGGAGTCTAGAAGCATCTGCTCTATTTATAGGGTTCGCGCGTACACGTGTGAGCAGCGGATGGCCGAAACGTGTGCCGTGTAAACTTGATGACACGAAAAGGAACGGACGTGATTTAAACTTGATACACCGGTAAATTGGTGGATCGATATCTTTGCTACCTATCAAAACACACACATAAATCAATTATATATAATCACCACTAATTGTCTCTATTTAATTAAGGAGAACAAACATGTCATGAATTTGGTGAGGGTGGAATCATTATGGTTGCTGTCAAGGCGATGTAGGCGTCGAAAACTAAGTGTGGTGATGGAAATAGATACAAGGTTGTTGCGTTCGGAGACATGTGTCGACTTCGAGTCGTTCCCAAGGAAAGGAAATGTACGTGAATGCAGATAACAAGCCGAGCTCATTAATTACTTGGGGAGAGCTACTTCAAATCTTTCCCACCCATTTCGTGACGTCCGATAGGCTGATGTGGCGTTAAAGGCGGGTGGGTGGTCAAAGGAAGCATGTGGTGGTAACTCGTACTTCCAAGCCTGTGATGATGAAATGATGGCACCTCATTTGATGTCATGAGCGGAAGGAAACTTATCTGACACTACGGATTTATGTATGTAATTGACTTATCGAATTATATGATAATTAAGATGAGTGGATATGATAATTATATGTAATTGATTTATGTATGTCATGGAACACTTTGAGTATCTATAATCCTTTCCATGACATATGATGATGCATATGTGTTCTCATGCGTGACGTACAAGTCCTTTAAATCCATATCCACTCATCTAACTTGTTTGATATTAGATAAAGGCACTTCATCTTGAACGCGAAGAGATATGATCATGGAAGGTGTTCCTTAAATGCTCAAACATAACGCATATCCTCGTTCCTTCCTCTTATGGCCATCGGTTTAAGCATCCCTCTCAATGCCAAGTAAAATGTGAAGGCCATGGATTGGACCATTCTACTTGATGTGGATTGTGCCATCTTTTAGTTCACGGCACACATATGAATCATATTATATGTCTAATAAGAAACTAATATTTTATATAACATTCTAAATAATGGTTTGTGACTTTGAATCAACATCTTAATTTTCTTTTATAAGTATTTTCATTATGATGACCACTTAAAAGATTAAAAAAAAAATCATTTTTATCGATGATTAGTACAAAGAGGATGTAAATAAATTTTTGATCGTTTAAGATTATTTGGTTTGGTTGCATCGATACATTCTTTTAATTAGTTTGCCAAAATAGATCGATTCTAAATCCAATTACCATATTTTTTAATTAGTTTGGTGGACTAATTGATGTTGACCGGGTCAGCCCTCCATCATCCTAGTATATATGTTGACCGGTGGAGCTACTTTGACCAAGAAAACATGATGAGTTGATGACATATGAGTTGTACCCAATCAATATCTCTGTCTATATCTAACTATACTTACAAGTAAAGTTATTAATATTAATTGATGATAGGATTAAAAATCAGGAACTAAATCGCCAATTCATTTATTAGATCATTTGTATTGATAAACATTGATAAAACAGCTGACAAGATATATATATATATATATATATATATATATATATATATA